CCGCCGACCCTCACTGTGATCTCTGGTCTGAGCTCTCCTACCACCACTTCTGTCTACCGGCCACGTCAAATCGTAGAAAGTTACCGACGCTCAAAAGGATTTCGTGATTTTCTTCAATAACTCGTCGTTTTCTCGGCCATCAGAATAAAAAGACGGGGGAATTTTATTGTTCCGCGAGATCGAGATTTTTGCTCGTCGAGAATTCACGTTCGCGGATAATCATCCTTCGGAGAACGATTGCTGTTCTCCATTATTCTTTAGAAATTGAAAGTTGAAAGCAGCTTTTGTGAAGGCATAATACTTTACTATTTCCCTTGAGGGATTTAGAATAATGGACTAATATTTAGTACCCATAATGACTTCGATCAATTTGAGTCCTTTCAAATATACGTCTCAGCAATTTGTTGAGAGTGAAATGTTACTTTAGGTTCCTTTTGTCGAATGCTTTGATATAGATACGACTCATTATATGTATCACCAATATTTCTGTGTGATATATTTGTTTCAGTATTAAATCGTTGAATATTCATATGGCAGTCACTCTGAAATTGTGTAAATAATTGCTGTTTTGCCTTCGTTTTCTGCATTATTCGGAAATAATTTTCATTATCAATTGAAATTAAATTTATTGTTATCAAATAAATGTATTATAATCTTATCAAATATATATTGAATGATCCAACAATAGAGGCACGAAACTCAAGTTCTTGTTTATGTCTATCGTACTATACATCACTCCCTGTACTGACCTGCCTCAAGTGTGCGACTATTGGTGGATCGTTACACTTCAGAGAACTTTTGAATCGCGAATAACTTGAAGAAAATAAGAAATAGTAAATTTTTTATTCTTGATTTTTGTCTTATATTATTATCGAGAATCGTTTTTCAAATTTTCTGTTACCTGTAGTCAAAAACATTGTATAACATCTCATTAAAAAAATTAAATGTTATCTCAACTTCTCCAAAAATCTTTCTTATAGAATAAATTGACGTAAATTATTGCGTTACTCATAAACTATATTCAATTTTTTTTAATAACAATCAGTACATTTAGATAGTTCTCAACGGTGAAGTATACTTGAACAAAAAGTTAATAAATTGTTAAGGATCTTGAAGAAATTGACAAAGAATTCAAAAGATAAGGTAGAAGAAAGAAGAAAAGAATATTCTTTTAACGAAGAAAAGAATATTAATATTTGAAATGATTATTACAAATTCATCAATGTATTACAGTCAAACGCAATGAAGTGTGATAACTTGTATAAGAGCAACATTAACATTCATAAAAAATTTTTTTTAAATATTATTCACTAACTGTTTTTTTGTATTAATTTGTAAGCATATAACCAATTAGTTATTTGTCGTTTCCAATGAACATTCCGCGATCTTAAACTGTTCAATTTTTTTTACATAATTGGAAACTGATTTAAAATTATGTTTACTATTCAGGTCAAGCGCATAGTTCCGTAGAACGAGCTGGGCTTCTCGGGGGTGTGAAATTCCGACTATTGGAGGTAGACTCAAAATATAGACTTCGCGGCGAAACCCTTGCAGAAGCCATAAGAAAGGACAAAGAACAAGGACTGATCCCATTTTATGTAAGTTGGTGTCAAATATTACTGAATTAAATTTCAAGTAACTTAAGCAATTCATTGTCAAAAAATCGAAGAAGAATTCTTTGTACTTATAGAGTCATAAAAAATGATATAATATCATAAAAATATATTCTAAAGAAGGAAAAAAATGAAAAACACCACTATTAATTATTTCATCACTGTCACATTATTATTTATTCCTACTTACATATGATACCTTCGTTTATGTGAATATAAAATAACAATTTCACCATTCTTACTCTCTTTTCCAAAAAATCCTAATTTAAATATTTATCGAGTATACGAATACTGTGCAACTTATTAAATTAATTTATTAATAGACTTAGAATAAAATTAGTACAAAATTCAATTACTTCCTACTTTTTACTATATTTTTTCTATAAAATTTACACTCAGTTTATAATATTCTTTACGCAGGAGAACATATAATTTTTTTCATTTTACAGGCTGTCGCGACTCTAGGAACTACTTGCTCATGCGCATTCGATCGTCTTGATGAAATGGGTATCGTTGCGAGCCGCGAAAACGTGTGGTTACACATCGACGCAGCTTATGCCGGTAAAATAATCGAATTTCATTAATATTTTATATAATCTTTTCAATTACACTTTTATTTCAAATTTTTCCTTTACAGGGTCTGCTTTTATTTGCCCTGAGTTTCGATATTTACTTAAGGGTATCGAACTGGCGGATTCGTTCAACTTCAACCCACATAAGTGGATGCTGGTCAATTTTGACTGTTCAACCATGTGGCTGAAAGATCCTACCTATGTTATCAACGCCTTCAATGTTGATCCATTGTACTTGAAACACGACATGCAGGGATCTGCCCCCGATTACAGGGTAATTTTATTTTATATTTTAAATATATTCATTTAGACTTTTTCCAAAGGAAAGTATTGGGTTACAAATAGTCTGTATACCGGAACAGACTGTTCCTGTTGAAGTTAGAAATAAATCGCGAAGGAAATCTTTTGAATATTTGACAGTTCTCTAATATTACTATGCTAGTTTTTTTTATAGATGCACTGATACAGTTGTAAAGTGCAATTGCACTTTTTTGTGAAACTCTCCTTTTTTTCATAAATTGGTTCTTTGCATAGTTTCACGTGTAAAAAAGAATTGAGATACTATCATTGACAATTCAATATCTCTCAAAATATTTCACTTTAAATATATCTGATGTATGTATACTTTTGTCATTGAAATTAATAATTTATTTAATTAATAGTTAGTAATTTATTTATTTATCTATAAAAATATATATTTATAATGATGGAAAATTTTTATTTTCCAGCATTGGCAAATTCCACTAGGACGTAGATTTAGGGCATTAAAATTGTGGTTCGTTTTGAGAATATATGGCGTAGAGAATCTTCAACAATATATCAGGAATCACATTGCTCAAGCTCATGAATTCGAAAGTCTGGTTCTCTCAGATTCTCGCTTCGAAGTTGTTGCCGAAGTCATAATGGGTCTCGTTTGCTTCCGATTAAAGGTACGTCATAGTAATAATTACGGCTATGTATTAATTACTTTGTCCTCATAAATTGAACTAAAAAAATAATAATTAATAATTTATATTTTTTGCTATAATGCTTTCTATAATTCACAAAATAGTCAGAATCAGATAGAAATTTGAATTTATGTAAACATCCACACTTCTATAAATAATTATTAACTTTTGTATTTAATATACTAAATGTATCTGTGCATATGGCAAATACCTAAAATCTATAGCTTACCTACAACATAATAATTAGAAAATATTTATAATTATAAATGTTAGTGTAACATGAATAACGTATTAATATATATGCAGTATAAGTATTAATAACATTATACATGGATTGCTGCAAAATTTTCAGGAAAGAATGATAACAATCACAAATAAGTTTGAACCAATGGTTTTATTCTTTTTCAAAATATTCTCCTTCAATATTAATACATTTTCCATTGTTGTGTCAGCATTTTCCGAACGTAGAAATGCGAAACTTTACGAAAATAACAAACAATTGAATAACTTTTGTAGCAATCTACGTAATAAAATCATTATAAAATATTTCAAATATTTAAAAAAAATAATAATTTATATTTACCGAGATGTAAAATTGTCGACAGGGTTCAAATGACATAAACGAGACTCTATTGAAGAAAATCAATGGCGCAGGAAACATTCATCTAGTACCATCCAAGATAAACGACATGTATTTTCTGCGGTTTGCGATTTGTTCACGTTACAGCGAGAGTAAGGACATTCAAAGTTCTTGGCAGGAAATAAAACGCAGAGCTGATGAGGTGCTCGAAGAGCAGTCGGTTTCTAAGTGATGGCGCGCTCAGATAGCTCGAGGTTGCCGATCTTTAGCTCCTGTAGCCTGTAATCAATCCTAGCTCCTAGTTGTTCCGTGTTTTAGTGATCCTGAGAAAACGAGTGGATGATTGAAAATTAAGGACCTGTCCTGTATATTTCTTCATGTTTGAAAATTTAGAAAATAATCATCATTTAATTGTTCCATTTTTGGTGTTTCCAAGGAAAAATTTTCATTTGTTATCGAACAGAGTAAATTTTGATTAAACTTATAATCCTAGTTAAAAATTATATCAGCAGTAATTTTATGAAAAAACATGATTTACCTTTATAAAAAGAGTCAAGTCTTTCTTCAATAAGTTGTCAGATTGAAAAATGATTCATCATAGTAGTTACTTATAGTTAATTTCTATAGTTATCTCACGTTTCAGTAGTGGAAGAATCTTTCAAACAACAATGACAATCAATTTAAATAAATGAAGATTAAGACAATCGATAGAAAGAAATATTATTTTTGATTATGAAATGCTAAAAAGGTAACAAATAAGATTGCACTATAAAACAGAAAGTTGTATAGAACTTTCTAGCCAGGGAATAGTAAAAGTGACATTCCATTAAAATTTGTACAAATAAATCAAAACATGTATTGCATCAATATTTCTTCATTATTATCAATATTAATCATTATCATTTTATATATTATTATATTGAAGTTATAATACTTAGTGGAAATTAATCCCAAGAATGTAATATCTATAGTAAAACAGAGGTCCCATGGAAAATTCTTCCATTACCAAAAACAATAAATATTTCTGAACATATCTATATAATAATATAATTTATATAAAAAAATATAGTCTTTATAGTTTTCAAAACACCTTCTAGTACTTCGTCAGAATTATAATTAGATTGATCGAAAATCTGATAATAGTATTCGAAGATGTTTATGTTATGTGTATCTAATTATTTTGGAAATATATAAAGACAGGTCCAGTGAACGTAATAAGCCAAAGATCGTTCTTCGAATCCCCGTTTAAAGTTGATAAACGCGTAGTTCACGTGAACGCACTATTACCTGTTGCCTTGTGCCACTTTTCCCAACATTCTAATCTTCGCCAGTTACCATCGCTTTCTTCGATCACCTTGAGTGGCATAATAGATAACATGCATCTTTTGCAACTGAGTTGCATAATTATTTGCGTCTGTGCAACTGTAAAGTAGAAATATATCCGAAAATTCTTCGGATTCTAGACAAGGAAACGCAATGAGATTTAATTTATGTGATTTCAAGTGTTGTTAAAACCTTCCGACGATTTTAATGTAAATGTAAAAATGAATTTACTTATGATTTATTATATTTAAAAGTGTGTAGGCAAAGTAATCACGATGTTTTATTGTATTCATGTTGAAACCGTGTAGTATTAATGTGAATAACGATAACGTGAAATGCAATTCGGAAGGAAAGTGGTTATATTGTATATGTTATTGTTGAATCTGATCGTATATTGAGTTTCGTGTTCAATGAAATTTATGAACCACCGATGGATTATATCATTGAAAGTAACGTTAAATATGAAGAACACAGAAAATTTCTTGATAATTCACCATTGCTTTTGATTTTGTTGCAAAAATAATTATATTATTTCACCGAACAAAGTAAAAAATGCTCCTACGTCATGAACCAGTCTCTCATCGATGATTATATTAAAGCACATTCATTTGGAGTACGCAGGCGTGCATAAGAATCGAGTCACAACATTATTATATATAGACGTTACATAATTAAATAAAATTATTATATAATAATCAAGGATGTATAGTAAATAATTACATTATATAAAAATGTTCTGACTAAATATTTTTGCACGTGGCTCTATGCAATTTATATTTACTTCAGAATACTTTATTTATAATATGGTTATAAAATACATTTATTGAATTATATACAATATTTTTGTGTTAGTTAGTTTCATATGATGAACTTGATAAATGAATTTTTGTTAATATATTAGCGGTGAATTTTTTATTTAATAGAAAATTTACAATCTTTTCTGGAGAAAAATATTTAGTAAATATTCTGTACACATACAGTAATAGTTCTGTGGTTCATAATGTAGATAATATCCCAGGATATGTGTGAAACAGAATACTTTGTACAATATTAGTAGATTTGTGGGTGAAGCTTCAAATTGACAAGCTTCTGAATCGTACATGTACTATATTGTACAAAATATTGGTTGATGTAACTTAAAGTTATATCAGACTAAGTAACCTGTTTTATTATTATTTTTGTTATATATTGGACTTCATGTGTGCTTATATTTTATTTATTCTACTCATTTTCAATGGAAATGAAAGAATTAGTTCTAAAGTATTACGATTTAAAAATTTATTTAAAGAATAAATACATTTCATTTGAAAGAATAAACGGATTGAATGTTACATATTATCACTACTCATTGAAAGTAAAATAATTAATATCATAGAATGCAATCATTTAAAGTTATATTGAGCTGATTTTGACAAAAAAATTATTTGAGTGAACAAAGGTGAACAAATTTTAGTTTTATTAATTTTAATAGTTTTGAACAAAAGCTGAATTAATTTCGATATTTAGACGGTTACATATTTTTTCTTGCTGCCTCAGTTCTGCAATTTATTTGATCATACGTCATATTTTAATTTTACTTTATAAAAATCTAAATTAACACGATGTTTGAATTTCTTCATTAAGTATAAAACTTTATACCAATTTAATTAATATGTCAAATATTCTTTTAATAGATATTAGTTGAATTTTTTAAGAAAGTAGCAATGACAATACGAAAAAGTGAAATGAAAGTAGAAATGGTACATAATTGATAGACACAATTGCCTGTTTGACAGAAAATCTGTAGACTGGCACGAATATTAGACAAAATTCATTTTTTTTTAAATAGATATGAATCACAGGTGTTCATTGAACCATAAACGAACGTTGGATTATGAAAATATGAGATTTATTCCGGTGAATCTACTTACTACTTATTATGAAATTATATTTGACATATTTCGATCGTACAAATACGTTTCATAAATAGTTACGTGTATGAATATGGAAGCAACATAATTTCAGTTCTTGTATAATTATATATTTTATAATTATTTTGAAAAAAGCATTGCTATCTGTGAAACTCGTTCACTATAAATGAACTGCAAATGTTTGCGTGAGTTCCTATTTTCGCAGATAATTTAAAAAATACTCTATTTTTGACAATTATTGCAGTCTAATTTTATATATTCAGAATTTTTACACATTCTACATATTTTACATTATTTACAAATTTACGGTTATGTGTTTCTAAAAATAATCTATTATTCCTATACAAAATGAAATATTTTCTTAGATATATCCATGTTTTGTTAATGATACTTTTAATTTATTATTACAGAATCTAGAATTTCAAGAGAAAATAACTATAAATCGCCGGTAACTCACAAATGTAAGGTATAAATAAATATACAAACAGTACATTGAAAATAAAAACTATAAACTTTAAAAGATCAAAATAATTTTCATTCCTTTTTCTAAAAAGATTGTTGTTAAATTTTATTGTATTTGGAATATTGAAAATTGATAAAATCTTGTATTTATGTATATATACAGAATATAAAAACCATAATTTTGTCAATGAAAATATATTCTGTTGACTGTAAAAGAACTTTACTTCAGTTATATAAAGACAAATTTTGACGAGGTAATTAACGAAGGCAGGAATGTACAGGAAATTTCGTTTTCTTATATAAAAACTCTTGAAGATAAAAATAACATCAAAATTCTATACAATTTTATCGAAGATTGTATTTTGTTATGTTTTATATATTTACTTACATTTACAATGAATGTTTAAAATACGCAGTCTGTTTAAGAAATAAAAACAAATACACCATGGTAATAAAAAATACGTTAATGTAAACAATATCAGAAAACGTACTATTTGCTGCTCATTCAAATGAATCGTGCTGCTTCGATTACATTTACGGCATATTTGATGTAAAGTAGTGCTGCAACTGGGACAATAAATAGATCTAGAATTACTTTGCGCGGTTTGGTCTATCGAACGAGTAAACGTTCTTAAGATTACTTATAATAAATAATCATTAATTACTTCATGTGCACTGGTTATGATCGAGCACTGTTGTATTTATAACATTTTATATATTCACAATAATTTATCAACGTATATTTTGAGTACCAAATATTGCTGGAAATGTTATTAAAAAGAATCACGGTTTGAAATGGATATCATATCATGAAAAATATGAGTTTAGGATTTATTTTAGGAAAATAATTATATAAACATTTTGTTAAGTATTAATGTATAAATAATAAGAACGTTTTCTCGATAAAATAACACGAATTACTGTTAAACGGGACCAACGGAAAGTAATAAATGAAAATGTAATCTGTGTGTATATGCCTGTTATATTGATGTACGGAAGTTTATTTTAACATTGCGTTTAATTTGTTAAGAAAAAGATATACATTCCCGCGAATATATAAAAGCGTCGTTATATTAACGTGGGTTAAATAAATTCTGTATTATATTCACTTTGATGCTTGATATAATCTTCACTTTCCATTGCATATCAAAAGAAATATTATTCTTTACCATTTTCATAATTCAACGCTCATTTTGCGTATATGAATGTTTAACTGATTTTATTTTTCATTTTATTTGGAAAATACTATTGTTCAAAACGTTCAATATTGTATTGTATATTTTGTTAGGTTCGTCATTTTTAAAGTTGTAATAAAATTTGTTTGTGTTCTAGTAGTAGTAAAGATACTCAAAGGCGTTATTTCAATATTTTCACTTGAATATTAATAAATCAAGACATATAATTATGCAAAATATTTGAATAAAATAAAGAACAAAGAATAGCTAGCTATCATGAGGAAAAAAAGGATTTCCCGACCTTTACAATGTTACTAACCTGTCTAATTTTTAACGACTAACGATATTATAGTATTTTCAACAGTATCTAATTTACCTTGTGTAAATAGAGTTCCTTATTTATAATTATAATAAATTAAATCAAAATTCGTTAATATGTAAATTATTCTAAACATACATGTTTATAAATTCTTTTTTAAAGATAATTTATAAGAAATTCTTTAAATATTAAGTTATTCGATCATAAATAACATACCATGTATTTCTATAACGCTCATGATACTTATTTTAATTTTAAAATCGGCAAAACTCATCATACGACAAAATAAAAGCAACATCATCAAAGTATAATAAAAATTACTCTGTTTATTAAAACTGTTAGCATGCGACAATAAGAGTACAGCAATGAAAAACATATACAATGACTATATCGAAAAAAAGAATAAAAATCTCTTAAAAAATTTGTGATAATCATCATTTCGTATTTTACACAATACTTATTTACGGATCTTCTTCGTTGCAGTACGTTCCAATAATAAAGATTTCATTGTTATCTGATTAACAATACAATTAACATACCCTTGGACAAAAGACCAGATGTGCATATACATTTTCAGTCTATTTGTTTCATTAATACTTCTACTAAGTTGTTCCATGACTCGAATCTTATGCGGACACTTTCTTCGGTGGACCACCAAACCGTTTCGTCAATTGAATTATTCTTTCAGCCTCGCGAATGCCACTTAATCTCGCACCATGAACTGTGCTATAGTGTCCTGGGATTGTAGCTTCCCCCGCGAATAAAAGAATCGGTGGTATTGGTTCGCATGTGCCTGAACAAAAGAAAGGTATAAGAGCAAAGAAAAAATGGAAAGGATGCGAATGTTAAAGAAAGAGGAATTTCTTTCTTTCTGACACTTGTCTTTTCTTAATAACAATGGTGACGTGATATTATTAATATTATATATCATTAACATAATTGTAAAGTATTATTAATATTATCGATCTACTCTATATTTGAGCAAAGGAATTTTAATTAGAAAGTTCCTTTCAACAATTTAAAAAAGAATTTTAATAAATAGGTTTATGTGAATCTAAATATATATGTGCAGTAAAATATTTGTAATATATGATTTTCTTTAAATATCCTTCAATTAATAGTAACTTAGAACTTTTTTCAGAAATTACATACGAAGGTATGTGTAAAAGATTGTTTGAATTGAGGAAGTTAATATTTTCATAAGTAACGTTTAATAAATTAAATGCTTGCAGAATCATTAATAAATATTTCTTATATAATTCCATGACCTGTATTATATTTATGGTGTGATATAATAAAACCTCTATTATGCATATTGCAATGATATTTCTGGTTTTTAAGCATTGTAATTTTAATTATTCTAAAGTTAAATTTCAATTTTTATTCGTGATTTATGCTTTAAAACTGAATTTAAAAAACAGGTGTAAAATTGAGAGGGAGGATTCATAACTCGTCTATCTTTTAAAAATTTTCAAAGCCTGTTGTACGTAACAATAGTACCTGGTAAAGGACTTGCTAGATCACACTGATGACCGACAGTGCTTTCTAGGCCCATGTAACTATATGCTCCGGCAAAGTATTGATCCATACACCATTTGCTTCTGAGAAGATTAGCTGGATATGGTAGCGTAGTATCACCGGTAAATTGTCGAAGAACTCTTGTTATCGACTCCACGACTTCTTCGTCGGAGCACAGTTCCATATCAGCAGCTTCGCGGCCACAGATCCATGCACACAGAACATGTTGAGAGGTCGACATTTCTTCGATATTAGAAAGTCCTGAAATACACAAAAATTTCTATCACTTGAATGGAAGATAGGAAAACCAGATATTTTACCGATGGTATGTGAAAAATGAATTACGTTTAAAATATAAAATATTATTGGATTTGTAAGTTCCTCCTATTGCGGAAAAATATATAATCTAATAATACTGTGAATAGAAAAAAGATTATATAATAAATGTTAACAAATAATAGAAAAATACTAATGATAATAATAATAAATAATAGAGATCATGCGCCCTTTAGTGTGATTTCATGATTACATGAACAATACATTTGTTTAGAATTAAAATATAAAATATCAATTTTTCCAAACTATTTTCGCACGATAGCACTACATTTCGAATATATTCTTTGAAAGTTATATTTGAACATTCCGAAAGACGAGATCATGTAAGAAGGAATTTACTGTTTTTGTAAATCCTGATGAGTCATTGCCCTAGTAAAAAAGAAAGTGGCCGAACCTTTCACCCAATCACATCTGTCAGCAAGTTCATCAGCTGACCAAGCGAGTTTGATGCCACCTTCTTTCCAAACCCAGAACGGCCTCGCGTACTCCAAGAATATTTTATTTACGTATCCGTAGCCTAATTTACACATGGCTTCCACTTTCTCCGCTGGTAATGCCGGGCAGAAGAGTTTGTCGTGTTGATTCTTCAAAACCCCGAGAGATACGGTGACAATAACATAATCGGCGGGAAATTCTTCACCGTCGCAACATTTCACCACTGCTCGGGGACAAGAATCGCTCACTGCACCCCACCTTATACAGCTTACTGGCTTGTAATATCTAGTGCAATAAACGATGAATATTTTTAGCGTGGCACTCGTGAATGATCGAAGTAATCTCATGTGATCGTTCATCAATTCATGCCCCGATATCAATCATTAATAGTGCTATTAATGGGACGAAGTTTGATAGCTACTTCACTCGTGCGATCTTGAAACTCGTTATGTAAATAGATTTATTTGAAATGTATTTTAAACTTGATATTTCGGTACCGTCAATTCTTAGCTATTAATTAATAAATAATAACATGTCGATGTTATACGGGATTGTAACCTTAATCTTCTGTATCTGTATGAAATGTTGTAATCAGTTATCGAACTAGATCGATCGTGTATGTGTACTGATGCAAAAATAGCAAGATAAATTTTCATAAAACTTATTATCTAATTTGTTCCTCCATTAATATTCGTGTTGTATATAATTATAAAAAATAGTGGGAATATTCAAGAAAAGACTAATGTTCTTAAAATATACTGAAGAAGAAGATTTAAATTTTCCAGAAATGAAGTGGAAGTATGGGAATTATAAAATTGCAATTAAAATTTGTATCATTTGCTGTTGTACATGAATTTTGTTTGAAAATCTTGAAGAATATTTGTAGAAAACAAGACTACTTGAACCTGAGCCATATGTATAAATATAAATACATGTATGTAAAAAAATTGTTATCTGATACTGATAATAGATAGATTAGATAATAATGTAGTGATATACACTGTGATAAACATAGAACCAAGTTGAATGTAAGTACACTTATGAATATAATCAATTTAATATTTAAGATTTATCTTAACAACATGTATTGATTCTAATGATAACAAATAACTGGTTGTAAGAACTTAAAATTTATTTGTTTTCATTTAGTTATTTCGAAAATCTTTGATTTTTTGCCACGAGATTTAGTCAGTGTATTCAGTCTATAGTGGTCCCATTATTTATAACAAACAGTACAGTAAATGATACATACAGTAAGTAATAATTCATGATATATATTTATTACATACTAATATAATTTTAGTATGCTATACAGTAGATATATACAGGGTATTCAATTTTAACCTATAAATAAATTCAATTATCTATGAAATTATTCGTTACTTTAAAAAGTATGTGAAATGCTATATTTTTTGTTCTAAGAGGGCAGTAATTAGGTATATACAAATACTTAGTTTGTCTTAGTTTGTCTTAGGTGTACCTGTGTAAAAGATATGAAGTTTACCACTATTTTTTAAAGTATAATAATATATATTTTTTTGCATCAATCAATGCAGCAGATCATTCTCTACAAAAACGCGTTAACCTATGTACATCGAAAACCCATCAAAACAAAAAAAATTGCATTTAAGGTTAACATGAGTCCACCCTATATATATATATATATGATCCCTTTATTTCGAAAGTAGCTTATGTCCGTTTAAAATTAAAAAAAAGAGATAGTTATTTAAAAATGGAAAATAAGGTAGAGTTATAACTATTACATATTACAATCTTCAGCTTGATTTTTTTAAAAAATGGACTTGTGTCATTAAATACTATTATAATAAACACGTATCATTAATTTGAACTAACTTGAGAGAACAGTCTGGTAAATCCCGCAGCAGAGGAGCTAAAACTCCAACGTATCCGAGGGGCACTCTGACATTACCACCAGGGATCTCGATGTAACTTCCGAATTGATCAGCCGAAACGAGGGAAAGATCGTCACCGCAACGACACCTCATGCAGTTCGTCATCCCATACATCACCCTGGCTGCGTCATATCTAAAGACGTAAAAAAATTAAGGGTATCGCAAGAAAATGGTTTCCGATATCGTGTCATTAAAAATGCAGTGATGTAACGTGTTAACTGAATAATTTCATGCGTCCTGCAATAGCAAAACATTAGGTCGATTATACAAGAATTATTCCAACAAGAAACAGCATGTTAATTAATGGCTTATCCATTCATCGTTTTTAAGTAACGCAAATTTCATTTCTTCGTTGTATACTATTTTAAAGACGGTTACCACTTTAAATAGATATTCCATTTTTGATACTTACTTCAGCCCCTGACAGGTGAATCCGGTATTAAGGTGAATCATTAATAATCACTCCAGATAAGTGGAGTATCTTAAGGAAAATTAATAGAGACCTAAACCATCCACTTTAACAGTTAAGAAATTAATTATCTTGGAAAACATGGAAATGTCATTCATGATATCTTACATGTATGATGAAGTGTATCTATTCCTGAATTTAAATGTCCGTCTCATTTATATATTTAATGTATGCACAACCCGACAGTTTGTATGAAGACATTCAGGTAAAAAAATGATAAAAGCTAGAGAAAAATTTATTTATATATATATACAAATAAAAAAAATAATCTATTTATTAACTCTGTACCTTGTATTTCACAGACAACGTTTATGGTTTTTGCCCAATTTAATAAATGAATAAATAAATAAATTCTTTATTTGTTAAAAATTATTTTTCAGATTTGTGATTATTATAACTATCTTAAGAGTGTTTATTATTATACTCATTATATTTTGTGATTATTTCTTAAGTCATTATGAAATTATATATTCACATTTATCACAAAATACTGTCTAAAAATATTATGCAATTTTAATGTAACTTCAATGCAATTTCAATATTTTTCATCTTCATGATTTACTTATCATTTTCATTAGGGACGCCCAAATTGTTTTTAATTATAAATAATTCATAGTTATGAACATGGAATTATAAAAAAAATATTTCTTAGTGTTACAAGTGCAAATATTTTGTATTCATTAGTACATACAACTATTTTGCAAATAAACAGCAACACAACCGCAATTTTCGCACTCAACTGGTTAATATCAGAACATATAGCTACTTTGTGAAAAGTGCACATATCCACCTAAGGTTGTGGTTAACAGTAGTCACGTACTCCGACAAACTGGCGTTCTAACAAACTAAACACATCAAAACAGTCAAACATTGATACAAATTCCTGAGAGTGTTCACGCATAGCGGTCTTCACATGCTTATTCCTCAGAATACTACATTGTACGAACTGGCATCCACCGTAACCGCAGCTTAACGATGTCACTTCAGAACCACCGGCTGCGAAAGTGTTAATGTCAAATTTCGATCGAGTTGCCATAGACGTTCAAAACTCAAACCGAACTTCAGAACTACGTTCACATCACTGCTAGCAAAGTTTGCAGTTGACCTGGGCAACTGTACCGTTGCTCCTCTGGGAAATTGTGGAGCTCCTGTTGTATTCTGACGCCCATGAAGTTCAGCAACGTACCGTGGGTGCGGCCACAGCCTAGAGAGAAAAGGGTTGCCGCCTGTTGCTCAATTTGCCGGAAGGTGTGATAAGCCGTGATGCTGACAGGAAGATCGATAGCTCGGCCATCGCTCGTGCAAAAAAGACCGCGGCTCGGATCAGGCCTGAAGATGGGTGGCTTCAGAAGACCCTCTTGAGCGGCCAGAGTGAAGACGGGATTCGCCACGCATCCACCCTCGATCCAGGTGGCTCCCATTTCCGCTACCACATCGCCCAACCAGCATGAATGAATTCGTCCTCCTGGTCTGCAAAAAGGACTCATTGTCGATACTTCATAAGTCATTCGTAAATTACGGCTCTACATGGCAAGTGTACGAAGGATAACGTGAGTAGACAGTATTTGATTTTTAGTTCTTGCTTATACAATAAGACCCTGCCTAATATTAAATGCACCAGCACTTTATATATAATTATTTCCACTCTAACCAACTAAATAATTAGTTATAAAATAAAGGTAAATAAATTAGACGAGCAATTTGTTTAGTAGAAACTTCAACAAAAGAAAAGACAGAAACTGATAAACTAATTAATCGGCCGATATAAGAATTGATAGAAAGTTAAATGAACAAAAGAAAACACAAAATTTGAATCAAATTTTACAACCGGTCATTTGACCGATCGCGATGGGTTTAGTGTTAGCCCATTCGAGATCAATTACACATCAGGTGTATGATGAAGTATCTAAGCAAAAAGACCAGACATATATACCGTGTGTGATGATCGTGAATTTCTGTTATCAATTAGTAGTGAAAAAGTAACTTAATTTATTAGTTAGAAGTAATAATTATATAAACATTAAAAGTTGTATTGCCTTCATGGTAAAATCTTAACAAGAGGAACTTAGAATCAAGATCATTGGAATTACGAAAAATGAACAATAATGGTGGAATTGATGATTTAGAATCTTGGTTCTTGGAGACCATCTTTAATACTAGGTTTACACTAAGTTAAAGTCAACGTAAACATTCATCAAGTAACGTTTATAAAATTCAATATGCGTCAAATTGAGGCGTTCCGCAAACCTAGTGTTAAAGAAACCTGAGTCTCAAATCGATTATCTGCTTTCACACTGCTTTCGAATTCTATAATTTTCATTAATTCACTTTAACACTGATTTCTCAATTCATGACACTCGCATAATTCATACGAAAGAAAGCAGGAAAGTTGCATATTTTTTTATCCATTATACTGTTTCACATATCCCTATTATGTACGTGTTAAAATGACCTCGTTCAATGTTGCTTCAACCGACGCTTGGTTTTTTTAACGTATCTCCCGCATTAAGACTGCTATATCTAATTTTATTCATTAATCCTTTGAAGAAAAAATGTTTAAATATAAACGTTGATGATTCTAGTTTCTGATTAATTATGCTTTAGATGCTTAAATATTTCAAGGACGAGCTGTATAAAGGAAAATGAAAATAATTATAAACATTGCAGAAAGAAATAGTGTTTACGTACTAAGTAATAACACGCAATTAACTTTAATATCAAACTGGAATTAAGAAAAAAGTTTAATTTTGATAAATTGCTTGATGAATTTTAAAGGTTGCAATAAATAGATACAATTCAGGCGGAATGTGATACTCACTTCAGACTTAATGAACTAAATTCTTTAATTCTCTATGTGACGTAAGAACTTTTTCGTTAAACGAATAAAAATCCAAAGTATTTGAGATCATTTATATTAAAATGTTGATAAAATGTGGAAGAGAAGTTGATTGTTATTTTAAAAAATATGTATTAAGTATAAAACATACCTATCCGTTGCTTCTAATATTGTAAAATTCTGAAGACCACATTGTGCCAATCGATGCGCCGCAGAAAGGCCAGCCATCCCTGCTCCGATGATCACCACTGTTGGTTCCGGCTTACATGGATCCAACATGCAAGGATCCAACTGACAGGACTCGAATTTAGCCAGCTTTGTACACGCTGGTATCTCCTCTTTTTTTCCTCCGCCTCCACATTTTTGGGATGAGAAAATTCTATTCGATATAAACAATTAAAATTTATTTTATTTAAACATTTTACTTTGAAAAATTATATTTTATAACTCTGTTTTAAATATTTCAAAAAATTTAAACATAGTTCGATGGTTTTATTAATATTGATTTAACCCACTTTTAAATACGGAATATTTTATATTTCATTCAACGAAGTACACATTATTTAATTTTAAGGCTCCAAATTTTTCCATTTTATTTTTTGCAGCGTAGAAATAAAAAACACTTCATAAATGGGTGGTTTTGTATTACTTTTCAATGATAGACTTTCAGATTCGCGGCAATATAGTACTATTATACTAATAATCGCGTACTATAATGCTTAGACAACTTTCAAATTTTGAAAATATAGTTGCTATTTGAAGGTATACATTCCTCATAAATCCACATCTTTTCATCTGCATGCTAACAGTAAGTAGAATACACTCTCAAATTAAGTTTTAAATAATAAATTTACTATTGCAATAAATGCTGATGTGTATGTGTGATTTCGCTATGTTTATCATCTAGTATTACATAGATGTAATTTATCTCTACCAACGATTCGCTGCAACTACCCTAATAATAGTTCTCATTCTGAGAAAAGCTGAAATGATATCGTAACATGTCAAATAGATTAAAGATTAAAGGTTATCTTATAAGTTCAGAGGACTTACATTAATGCAATCGACAAAATATTAACGAATAATGAAAATAATGAGCTAATAAATTTCCTCTCGCAATTTTGTTCGTCGCCACAAAATAACGATTAACATGATTTCTATTATTTCATTTCATAAAAAGGTTCCATGAATACTCAACACAATAGAAAATTGAGAAATCAAAAGATTATTAAGGTCTATCCTTATTACCTGAAAGTAATTGATAATTTAAAATAACAAAAAAAATATCCTTCCTATTAATCAGTAGATGTGACAGAGACAGTGGTAGAAGGTATTATCAAACGTCAAAAATTCAACCTCTTAAACTTTAGGCTAAAGTAAAATACACTCGTACAGTATTTCATAAATACGATAAAAGTTTTATATGTAACTCACTCATATTTTTAGTAAAAATAAAACGTTAAAACAAATAACCACATGCTGGGAACCTAAAAGTCACAATATAATTTAAAATCTCATGCTGGGAACCTAAATATCACAATATAATTTAAAATCTCGTGACCTACCTTACCAGAACCGTTTGGAATTTTCGAAGCGTTTGCTTCTGCTTCGTAAGTAGCATTTCATTGGGTAAAAACTGGTGGATTTGTTCATGAAGACGATGATGTCTAATTTTGGTAAGAATTTTGATGTTATTAGGGAAGGTTCCTTATCGGCGAACGTTGCTACGACGTGAGCATGTTACACGCGCAAACAAACGACCATTGCGGTAATGACGTTCGATTGTTGTTCGAATGACATATCATAGCCGGCTACGACAATTTCCGTAATTATGATTCATTGAAATACTATTTATAAAACAATGTATGACACCTTAATCAAATGTACATTTAAGATGAATTCTACAAATATACAGCTCATGGAGAATAAATCAATTGCTTTTAACACTTGCTTTTAACAATTTAACACTGCGCAATTTTATATTTTCATAGGGAATATAAAATTTTACGAAGTAATATACGTACTGTTTGTTCATAATTTTATTTCACAGTATCGACAGTGTATAACTTTGTAACGAATATTCCTAAAATTAATGCGAAGTCGTATTTATAGTTAAACTAGTAATTCTATAAAGTCTGCTTCGTTATTTAATGCATAATCTGCCAAATCTATTACAATCTGTACTTTTATTTAAATATTACTACTATTTAAGTATTTAATGAATACATGAGCATTCCTAACTTATTTGGAAACGTAACGAAAAGAATATAATGTGTTCGAAGAAACAGAATTAATATTTATTCTAAATCATAATTTACAGTAATATTATCTTGTAATATTACAGTGAAAATAGTTGATTAAATTACATCACACACAATTTTCGGTATAAGATCTTACAGTAACTACCTTTTGATTTAGTGGTAGTTACTAAACTACAGTTAATAACGCTAGAATCTATCAAAATTCAAGTAAATTACAAAAATAAGATAGATTTCAAGAAAACGTTAAATAGATATTCTGAACACACATATATATGTACAACACTAATAACGGTGTAAAACTTCATTCCATTGCTTTGAACGAAAAAGTTATTACCTATATAGTAAATACCTATTAGTAATCTACGAAAAATATTTAGCCGAAACTGGCAAAATTTCTACTTTACGATAAACATAATACATTTCGAAATTGTTAATAGGAATTTTCCTTTGATATTAATAATTGTTAAGAAATCTGTGGAAATAAAAATTTGCATAAATATCCGTAACGTAACATCCATTAATAAACTCTACGATATCTTTGGCGTTTTTATGTCCAGATTCATACTTTCTATCTTTTCCGCAAAGGCTGGTGGTTGCGATCTCAAAACTTCCGCCGCCTGTTTCGTGATCTCGTTCCACGCAAAAGTAATGTCGTCTTCTCTAGACAACCTGCTACACACTACGAAACGAACGATAAATTTCTTATGAAACGTCGCTGGTACAACATAAATTTTCTTCTCGGCTGTCAAACCGCTAAGTAGTTCTTCTGTCAATTTATTGTCGCCCTGAAATTGAAAAGTCGATTAGAATTGATGATATCAAGGGCTAAAATGATTTTTCTGATTATAATTAATATACAGTAATATGTGACATTTATAAAAATTACAATAATAAATTGTTTAAGTTCCCACAGCATTTCATTATAATATACAAGTAAATCTGTTAATTTGTAAAATCATTTTGGACATTTAATACTTTTTTTATATCAATAATTGTAAAATAAGAAAACCAGTCGTTTTGACTAATACGTTGTTTTAAATTTCGTGAATTTGTAAATTTACAAAGTCATATAAAAAGTTACAACGTGAAACAATATTACTTAAAAGATATTGAAAAACGAAAAACATAAAATGAGAACTGGAAAAGGATTGTAAAACTACAATGAAGAATATATAGTGGAAGAGTCTGAGTTATTATTACTTTAACACGTTAACGCCGACGCTGTAGTTTATGTTTCGCTTTACCAGGAAGTTCTATTAATTGTAGCTATTTTTCTTCACCAGGCTGCACTATGTTAGAAATAAGAAAATTAGTTATTAACGTAATAAAAATCGATGCTAGTTACTAATTAATTGTTTCAAAAGTATTTTAGTTTTTATTTGTTTTGGTATTGTAATTCGCATTTACAGATCTAAAATGTATTAATAAATATATAGTAAAATATATCTCATTCAAGAATTTCAAATTCAAAACATATAAATAAAACTAAGGTACCATTCAACAATTTCTTTTTAACCACCACTGATACGCGCCGTCGTCAACGTGTTAAATATATTGTTCGTGAAGAGTAGTCAACAAATCATTAAACAATAAATTTTTCTTACTCTGTACATACCTTCAGTCTGAAGCAAATTAAACCGAGCGATCTCTCCATTACCAATTCAAATCGATTGTCAGACTTAACATAGTTTTCAAACATCTGAGCCAATCTTAATGTTCGTCTTATGTGTTCTTGTAATCCTTCTACTCCATAAATTCGTAGAACGAACCAAAGTTTTAAGGAACGGAAGCGACGACCCAAAGGAATTTGCCAATTCTAATAAAATATAATTTGAAAATATTCATCTGTTTTTGACGTGGTAGATACATTGTACCAAATGAATGATTAACTTACTCTGTAATCTGGAGCTAATCCTTCTTTGTCGTGTGCTAAATAAATTCTATCTACACTAAATGATTCGATCAGACGTCTGGAATCTTTCAACCTAAAATGAACGAGTGTATGAAATTATTATCTGAGTGATAATAAAATTATTGATAAAGTGATTAACTTTAGAATTAAATGTAATAGAATCTCCAACAAATAAACTGCCATTTGGATATTGTAACAACTAAACGGAAATTATTTTCATTTAAATAATCTTGACTGCTGAAGCTTGTACTAAAAGTGGGTAATCCTAAAAAAAGTTCGAATTTTTTAAAGTATCAATAAAGTTTTAATAACGTAGCAATTTAATTTATAAAAATGATTAAATTAGTAAAATTAAAAAAAAGTAATTAATACATTTAAATTTGGACAAGGAATATTATTCTTATATTCAAACTTTACTGTTTTGTTGGTTTATGCAAAAAACAATGTTCTATTTTCATTCAAACATGCGTGCATGCGTAATACACACCAAAGTGCAGAGCAGTCGAAATTTACAAGCAGCCATTTATGAGGATTGATGTTGAAAGAATCAGCGTATTCAATGCCACACATCAAATTTCGATACTCAGGACAAACAAATGCGGCACCTATAAAAACAAAACGGAAATCAGGGAATTGTATAATTTAAATAGCTTAGATTGTTTTTCTAGTTTTAATCTGTTCATTTAACATATCTATAATCTTTGGATTGATTAATGTGTCCATTAAACTGATTTACATAATACTTGTTCTGCAGTGGAACACATTCACTGCTGCATCAGTCGTTAACGATCAACACTGCCTTTTTCCTCAAACAATATGAATCAATAAATCCTTGAATCCAGATAAATATCTTCGAACATATTTGTATAATTCTTACGACAAATACATGAATAATGAAAATGTATAATGATTGTCAAGATAGGTAGAATTGCGTTTTATTATATCAACACAAATGTATACTGATCTAACTGAAAAACCTTTTGAATAGAATAATTCATTATTTATTTACTCATTATTTTTCTAAAATTAACTTTTTAATATCTTTAATGGAAGATATTTGTGTTATTTATTGTACAACATTTAATAATTAAAAAAGAATTTTGTTTACAAATAAAATGTCGCATTAATTATTTGGCATCAAATAAAAAATTTAATAAAATTTTTAACCTGCATAAGCGGCATCCACATGCAACCATATGTTGTTCTGGTTGCATATGGGACCTAATTCTTCAATGTTGTCGAAGGCACACGTGCCGGTGGTTCCCAAAGTGGCCACCGTGTAACACGGTATCAGACCTCTCTCTGAGTCCTCCTCGATCGCTTTCAATAATGTTTCACCTCGAAGTGCACATTTTTTATCGGTTGGTAAAAGTTTCATTGGCACCGATGCTAATATTCCTGCCTTTTCTACAGAAGAATTTGATTGATCTACGAACAAAAAGTTACAAATATTTACATTAGTTTTAAACAATTTATTGTATTGTTTTGAAAGAATCCATACCATAAAACAAGTTAATTTGTTTTAAACATCATTTTTTATTGAAATATTCGCTATTGAATAATAAAATTACATATATAATCAACACTGTGTATATTGTTTGTCACTTAATTATTATTAAAAATTGAATCTAATTTTAAAAAATGATATTCAATAGTTACCAGATGTATATGCAATTAATTTCGATTTTATGAACCCTTCGTCCCATTCTGGATGGAGACGTTTTATGCGACGTGTTGTTTGTTCTTTCGCTGCTAATAAACACAGGAATGAGGCTTCACTTGCGGATCCCTAAATAAATTGAATTTGAATATTAATTATTCCCGTATAATAATTCTATTATATTTGTACATTAAAGAAGTAAAAAATGTTGAGGAATGTTATGCATTATTGCATAATATTATTTCATTAAATTACTTTCCTTGATTAAAATATTATATAATTATTTGCTCTACACATATATAAATAATTTGAATATAATTGATATTCATAAATATTAATGACTATTTACATTAATACCTAAACAATATCGAAAATAATAACAAAAAAGTATAACATTTTTTCTAATATGCCTATAAATTTCTAATGAAACTACTATTTGATAATAAATATACATTAACATATATACAAATGCAGAAAATTAATAAAAGGAATGTTGTATTACAATACAATTTTATTTAAAGCAAATTTTATACTGCCATGTGGCATGTCACCATTTTAATGCATAATATGTATATCAAGCGGCTCGTTGGTCTAGGGGTATGATTCTCGCTTAGGGTGCGAGAGGTCCCGGGTTCAAATCCCGGACGAGCCCAATTTTTTTTCTTTCTCAAAATTATAAAAATACTTACCTATACAACATACAATATCAAATAATGAATGGTTACAAACAATTTTTGTGAAATTAATATATTCCAACTAAAGATTGTGATTATTTTATAAATCATTGCTTTCGCTTATTATACATGTATAATTGCATGAAGTTTTTATTTTTTAATGTCGTTATAAAATGTTCATATCAACTACTAATTAAAGTTAATAATTAAAGGTACAAATAACCGAATAATTTGATAATAAGAAATCATTAACTGTTAAAGCAAATTTTTTAATCAAGACTGGCGATTAGTTGTCTGTTAAATGTAGTACATAATTTATTATATTAAATAATTATGTAAATAAAATTTTTAGATTTACTTTATACTATGGTTCAGTATTATACTATTCAGTTTTATTCTAAGTTTTTCACATTTATCATTTTACTCTACAAAAATACAGATACAAATATAAATATGTATAATTAGTAATTATATTGAACTCATAGCTTAAATCAGGAAATATCGTGCTTGTTCATTGAACTTTCCAGGAAAATGAAGTAGAAAGTTTATATAAAGTTTAACGTTTTTACCTTAACATTAATATTAAGAAATAAGCATCCAGTTTTCGTTTATACAAATTAGTTCTTGAGAATGTAAGATTGTATTAAGCATCCATCGCGTAAAAATGATGATTCACATTAAAATTGATCTACCTGTATAACGCCTCCACCAGGACCTTCGTCGCAGTTCAGAAATTCCTTCGGCAAACCTATTAATTTTCCAAGCCAGTTCATTGTAATGACTTCGAGTTCGGTGCACGCCGGTGAAGCCAACCACGTAAATCCGACACAACCGATACCAGCGGATATAATTTCACCGACAATCGCAGGATAAGAGTTTCCAGAAGGATAAAATGCATGAAAATTAGGTGAATTCCAGTGAGTTACCTAAATATTAAAAATCAAATAAAATGTTTCACTATTAAAAACTTCATTACTTATCTAAACTCATTTCAATAACATCACAGAAAGCAAAGGAAACATAATTGTAAGAAACCATAAGAATTCTTACATTTTACATAAAATATGTATTTCATTATTGTAGGGAAGCGAAAAAGCTTTAAAGCTATTATTAATTATGCCAATATTCTTGAATAATATAATAAAAGATACGAGGATTGCTTTAATAGGAATTGTAATTTAATAAAGTTTAACAAAAGTATGCAGCGCATCTGCATTTAAGTATAAACATTTTTAAACCATTGAAAGAACGAAAAATGTTTATACAGGTTGAAGTTATTACATAATACGTGAACATTTCCAATTGTTATTATTTTAAAAGTAATAAAGTCTTGATTATTTGTGCGCGTACTCTGCAATTTGCAAACTGTGTACCTAGTTATGAGAACTCGCCGCACCTTCTATTTAAATGAGTTCATTGGATTTTTCCGTTATTAAGTATATATTTTCATGTGTACAGAGTTAGTATATAATCTACCTAATAAATGAATTAATACAAAATGTATATTTGAGTGCAAAAATATAATTTGACTGATATATCTTTTAAATTAATACTATGAAAAAAATTCGACTGCACTTAAAAGATTAATCACTCTTAAGTTACGTAGGTATTTGTTATACCTTTACATATAAAATAATGTTCAAAACGAAGATAGAAATGATGTTCTTTGTAGAAATAATTATTTTTAAAAAATGTAATTCTGAAAGCACCTAATAGACACAGAGCTAGCTTAGGCACATAATCATGTTATAATCATGCTTATAATCATGTTAACAAGGACTTTTTCTTGACACTAATATATTACACTATTATCTAATCACCTTCAAATTTATTGTGTGGAAATAGAACAGGGACAGTACAGTAATTCGTATGCATTACTAACTTTGATTTTATTACGTACACGAGGAGTTTTATGAATGTTCGCTGCAAAACTGATTTCTGTGAAATCAATTAAACTTCGATACAGAGAAGTCTTATATACGGCTATTACTTGATACTGACTTCATTGTGTCTTATATAAACATTTGATGATCATTCACAAGGCTTTTGTACATTAATTTCTCTAGTTTTTTATATTAGTTAATTTGTGTGTCTATTAAATAACATTCTGCAAACGAGTATTTTTCACCTTATAACAGAGTATCGAGAAAGGAAACTCGGGAGATAAATACATGATTCTATCATTCAATGAAAAATACACTTAACGGTAAAAAAACTTGATATCATAATTTTATATTACTTTATATGTATAAACTAGTAGTACCGAAGAGGTAATAGAAACAAAGTATTTAAAGTATTTAAATATCAAAATAAAATATTTTACAATTTATCAAAGACTAATATTTAATGTAATGTTTCTAAAAAAACATTAATACAATGTATCATCATAACTCACCCCCGGCATAATGTATCTCTTTACATCTTCCAATATTTCTTGCCATTTTTCTCCCTTGTGTGGAACTTCGCTTGGCAGCAATTCACTGAGATAACCAGGCTCAACATCCGGAAGGACGTTCTCATCTCTTATGTTTTCGGTATAATTTGCAACAAAATCGATGGCAGCCTTGCCGAAATCAATGAAATCCTTCGTGTCCATGGTTAACTGAATTTTCTTTAAAAATATCCTATTCGATATAAACAAAAACTGTCATAATCAAGAAATAATTTGAAGAAAATGTAATTCAAATGCATCATATTATCGTGAAGGTTTAGAACGTTTCAATAAAATATTTATTTGACAATTGTCACAATTCTTATAAAATGTAGTCTGTTATTTAAAAGAATATGAATTTTTCTATAGGATTCAATGAAATCTTATTGCACCAAATAAATTAAAACATTTAACACACATAGCTATTGTATTATTTGATTTACAAACAATTATTTACACATTGCACCGTAACTCAATTTACGTAATTCCAATATGTATATTATGCGTTAATATCAATAGTATCATTAATAATTTACTTAATTGGCAAGAGAATTATAAATAAATGATTTCATATAAAATACACCTCCCTTTGTATAACTGTTATATCCACCAATGATGGCAATATACAATTTCATAAATACATTAATCCATTAATTTAATTTTCCCTTTAAATTAAAAAATAAACATTTCTCAAAAGAATTTATGAAAGCATTTTCATGTATAAAGATGTTTAAATAAAATTCACACAATAAAAGCTATTATTATAAACATAATTAAATGGTGCAATAATTACGTTACAGTACAAAAAGTAACAGAATAATATTTAATACTTATTCAGGCTCCAGTGTTCCGTTTATAATTACTGCCATAGTGTTACATTACTGGTGTACATAACAAAAAATGACTTCAAAAGTCGATTTCTTTTAGAATAAAAATTTTGTGTTCACAAAATTGTTATATGTATCAATGAATAAACTATTATCATACATGCCAATGTTGGTTCGATAAATATATAAAATATTCATATAAAATAATGTAATATATAATAAATAATTTCAAATGAAATAAAGATATTATATATCATGTTTTTCTTTTTAAATGAATATTAATTACGCATGTAATATAATATAAATACGCTCGATACATAAAAACCACATATCAATCGATATCATGACATCGAATGTCAATGACAGAACTTACCTTGCGTGACCGTAACAATTGTAACGCTTCAACACTTCACTTCAACAAAACATTACAATAAAATGCCCTGTGAAATACTTAACGACTCGTCATTAACAAATGTAGAAATTTCGTTCAAAACTGCGTAACGGACACGGAATGGAATTTCACAGAAAACTATTGGTCGATACACAATCAAGATAGTTCGAATTTTATGGCGCACGTGTCGCGCCGAGGACGGTCTTTGAAGAAGTGGGTTCGCTTGAACCGCGCCGGGTAAAGTTGAGTGTCGAGACATAGAAAACTTTCTCCCGCTTTCTCCATAATTATACAAAAAATTGATCTTACTGTGACAAGGAGGAAACGGAAATGAACCTATTTCGAAAATCGTTCTCACTGTATCATCTTATAATTGAATATGTCAGTTTAACGATTACCCGATCGACAGGTAATATTATCGACTATAATATTATCCTTGTCTTTTACTGTCAATTCGAATCACTCGAAAGAGTATAACAATAATAAATAAATAAAGCCGATAACAATTCTTCTGTACACATGTTTGTATTGATGAATGAATTACAATTTTTTTTTTGTTAATAAAAGACATTCTATGATTAATATTTCGAACTTTTGTTGATTTAGAAATATAAAGATATATTTGATATTTGATCATACTCGATACCACAAAATGAAAATATGTG